TTTCAGATGCTGGATAACTCAGCAATGCTCAGGAAATCAGACAATATTAAGAATTGCTCCTCTAGTCGTCCCTCTGCATAAGCCAGCGTCTGACTGACTGCACATAGTTCGGCTGTGAGATCGGGCAGTCATCTATGTATATGTGCACACATGACTGGCACTTGGTGCGCAATCTAAATAGAGTTTCATAACGGAACTCCTCAGCAGTTTTGCGTCTTTTTATCAATGCGAAAGGGGGCGGATCACAGATAGGTGCCAGCAATCCCACGGCGGACAATTCCCTCACTGGGAAGACGTCCCATACACTAATCCCACATCTAGCAGGCTTCTATTGATTCGTGCACAGATGCGCTCAGCAGAAGCCGTTCTGCCTGTCGTAAATAACTCAATCAGGTGTTCCGGATAGAGGCCCCTGCGATGGCTGTATGTGGATGCATCTTCGCTTCGACAAGTTATTTATTGATGTATCATACAGTTCCCCAGGCAGTGGTATTGCGCCGTTGCGAACGGGAGACCCGTGTCGCTTCTGCTTGTAGAAACGTACCTCGCTTGCCAGGCTTGCTGCCGCCCCCATGAAGTGAGGCGTGTTTGCCGCAGCCGGTGCTGGAGTTGGACTTGCCGGTAACCGGCGGCTGTGGTGGGCTTGTCGGTGGCCGGCAGTGGTGGGTTGGTCGGTGGTCGGCGGTGGTGGGTTGGTCGGCGGCCGGCGGTGGTGGGTTGATCGGTGGCCGGCGGTGGTGGGTTGGTCGGCGGCCGGCGGTTGTGGGCTGGTCGGCAGCCGGCGGTGGTGGGTTTGTCGGTGGCCGGCGGTGGTGGGTCGGTCGGCGGCCGGCGGTGGTGGGTTTGTCGGTGGCCGGCAGTGGTGGGCTGGTCGGCGGCCGGCGGCGGTGATGGGTTTGTTGGTGGCCGGGGGTGGTGGTGGGTTTGTCGGTAACCGGCGGCGGTGGTTGGTTTGTGGGCGGCCGGCGGCGGCGGGGGGTTTGTCGGCGTCGGCGGTGGTGGGTTTGTCGGAGGCAGGCGGTAGTGGGTTTGTCAGCGGCTGGCGGCGGCGGCGGTGGGTTTGTTGGTGGTCGGCGGCAGTGGTGGCGTGGGTACCGGTGGCAGGCGACAGGTACTGTGGCATGGGGTGGCGGCGATGGCGGCCACCAGCTGTATGTGAGTGTAATGGGGCGCGTAACACAGCACTGCAAATTGTGGTCGGCACCGGAGAATGTAACGGGCGAGATTTCCTCGCACGACGTCATTCGTCGGCTGCTGTCGAGGAACACGCAGATAAGGGACGAGCAGGTCAATGATTCGCAACAGCGGGTTGTCTTGTCCACTGGTGTGGTATCATGCTCATAATGCGAGCGAATAATGGTCCATCGTGGTCATTGGCTAGATTTTGCTAGCCCGCATCGTTGATTGCTAGCTGTAGAGTAGTGAGACAGTTCCAATGTGCAGCTACACGTAAATGCTGATGTTATGCCCATGTCCTTGAAAGTTGCGGTGCTATGTCAGCGGAATTTCAGTGTCTTCTCGGACGATTTTGTGTGCTTCGGGTGTCCGTCTGTATGCTTGACTCAGAAATCGACATGGTTGTCCGTGTACCTCTGCTGGACGGCGTTTGTTGTGGTACGTGGCTGCGACGCCATGCAAGGAATAAAAGCAGCACATTATCACAAAAGCATCCTGTCTTAAGTGACCCCGACTTGACGGATGATTGGGCTGCCCATCATCATCATCATGCCCATCATCGCCCCTTTTCCTGGGGCCGTACTTTCGCCCATCCCGGAAACTAATGGTCGCCATGTTTTTAAGCTGTCGGCCCATCATTTGGGCATCAGTTAACCCCTTCCCAATGGGGCGTCATCGATTGGCCTGCGGGCGCCAAGTTGTAGTGGCACCTCTGGCTCCTGGCCCCAATTCATGCTCTGCTACCCAGATCTTTCGGCTGGCGCGCCTTCGTCGTCATTTGCTCAGCGAACAAAACGTGTGAAACGGGAACAAGCTGGCGACTTCTGAAGAGAGCGCCTATAACCGGAAGCACTCGATCAATGTTCCACACAACCAACACGAAAACAACATAGCCTGAGAGCTGAGAGACAGAGTCGCGGGCGAAGAGCTCTATGTGGGGCATAAACGAAATTTGCCGCCAACAGAACGTTTCATGTTTTTGTTTCATGTTCTTTTCAGCAAGTTGTTGGTGATTATTGACCTGCATTGGGAAAGGCAAGTGCGTCAACCCGAAAAACGACTCCAAAGATGTATCGGAGGGTCAGGACAATTGCATTAATTTACGAATGTCCTGCATTATGTGCACTGCAAGCACTGTGTATTTGGGGGTAAAAACCCCCAAGCAGGACACCAACAGCTGAGGTCGGGACAGGAATTCAGTTTCTTCTCACGACCCCACGTGGTTCCCCGGAGTGTCGACCACCTCATCTTAAAGGTCTGACCTAGGGGCGGTCCAGACGGGGGCAGCCGACCCAAGTTTGTTACAGAGGCATCCCCAGTTTGCGGTCGCACATCTTAAGCCCTGGTGATAAAGCCACGCCATTCCCGCACCCACAGCAGAGAAGCACTCACGCTTGCTGATGACGTTCCCCCTCAGAATCGCGGTCAAAGTCACATCCGCTGGTCAGAGAGGAGCAGCGCTCTGTATCAGGGGTGAGGAAAGTGGCGATTGTGTGGCGAAAATGGCGAAACTACCCCAAAATTCGAGGTCCGAAAAGCTGTCCCTATCCAGTCACGCTGAGCAGGCATTAGCGACTCATTTGACTTAATTTACATGAATAAAATATAACATTCAGCCAATCCCTCTTTATCACATTTTATCATCCATGATACTCGGGCTATGCGCGTGAAGAGACAACATATATTTTTACCGCGTAAATTTGGTATCAAAGCCTGTATGCCGCTAACCACATGCTGCACATTATTGCTTGAATACTATTTTCAATGAAAAACAGACAGATGACGAGGTAATACTGTCTATTTAAAACTAGCGCTTGGAGAACGCTTACATCATCACGTTGCAATGCCGCATATCATGTTCATATTAAGAGTTTCGCTATCTAATTATAAAATAAGTAGCATTTAGTCACCTCAGCGGAAGGTCGACTCAAAGTGCTCGTTTTGAACAGAGCTGATAGCGTGGCGAGCTTGACATTCCGGACCGGATCTGGACGACACCAGCGCGATGCCGTGGCAGTAAGGCCTCGTCCCACCACCCCGGACGCTCCGGTCCTGTCAAGGAGGTCCCACCACTCCAGACACTCCGGTCCCTGCCAAGGAGGTCCCACCACTCCAGACACTCCGGTCCTGCCAAGGATGTCCCACCACTCCAGACAGTCCGGTCCTGCCAATAAGGTCAAGTTGGCGGCGCCGCGTGGCGCGCTGTGGCCTTGTCGGCGCGTGCTGGACAGTTCAGTGCCGGGAGGGGCCGTTCGGCTGACCATTCCCACCGTTATGACCCACCGGGGGACCGTAGACAACGGAGGCCAGGTAACCAGCCGAAGCCCGCAAAATCCAATCTGCTCGGATGCTCGAATTAACCGCCGCACAAGCAGAAGCCGAGGGCACCCGGCGGCGACGAATGCCCGCTCCACGTGCTACTGCGGCTGGAAGTGCGCAGGACCCATGTGGACGGCGAGGGCTACCTGATGACATCCCGCTGCTTATGTCCTCGTGGCTTTCAAATGAGCCTGGCCCAGACGAAAATATTGATCGGAAACAGCACGGATGCTCGTTTCTGTCATGCTTACCGGACCTAGCGCGACTCGCGCGGCATCAAGCGCAAGCTCATGAATAAAACGCCTTTTGTTGGCTGGCTAAATGCACCCAGTTTAGCTCGCGATAATGTTTTGAATCCATAGTTGGGTAATTGAGGGTGTCGGAGCCTTTTTCCTTCGGCTTACGGCAATTGCATGCCAGTGGTATTGGTCTATAATTACAGGATTTCTTGGAGTTTCCCATTTTGTAATAAATCAGACTAACGCTTTTTTCAGTCATCCGGCACGTTTACCTTCTTTAGCGACTGTTAAAAATGTGTTTTAGAAGCGTTGCTGTGACTGTACATTTTCTCACATAGCGCCAGATATGCCATCAGGTACAGATGTTTTTTTTCGGGATCTGATAATTTTAAATGACCCAGCCAACAATGCTATTACAGCTTCAAGGTAAAGTACGTGTTCCTGACCTGCGAGGGTATTTAAGGTGGGAACGTCATTTTGATGTTTTTAGTAAATGTTTGTTGATAGCACTGATTAAAATTAGCTGTGATTTCTATCCATCCATGCGTAGAACATGAATATCGCTCCGACATTATTTGTGTCCAAGCATTCAGCGCTTATAAAAATATGCAGCGAGATCAAACATTCCAGCCTTCCGTTCTTTTCATCCTTTCCCAGCTTCGAATACGATGAATGATAAGATGGCGTCCGAGTGAAGAACGCCACAGCACCACGGAAGATCGTGTAAGCAATTCGTCCCGATCTCCTTGGCTGGGCCGCAAACGAGCACTGGGACACCTGAGGGGCGACCTCACACCGACCTTCCGACAGGGCTCAGGTTAATGTTCATCCGCCAGTCGTTGTCGTACATCCGGAGCCAAGCCCTCAAGTCGGCAATCGGAATCGGGATGTCTATTACCGGGGATTTCGATGTCCTAGTATCAGACATGGCGAGACTGAATAGCCAGAAGTACTGAGCCGGGTGTTAGCCTCGGCACTAGATACCCTCCCCACACGCGGATGCGGTCAATGCTAGGGCGGAGTAGGACTGGCTCGGGCGCGTGGCCTGCACGGTCGTATCTGACGTACCTATGGCTAGCGGCTGGAGTCCCTCTCTCCGGGAGTAGTAGTCCACGTACAGCACGTTTGAATCATTCGGTTGTACACGTTCGGTTGCATCTGACGTACCTATGGCTAGCGCCTGGAGTCCCTCTCTCCGGGAGTCGTAGTCCACGCAGAGTACGTTTGGATCATTCGGTTGTACACGTTCGGTTGTATCTGACGTACCTATGGCTAGCGCCTGGAGCCCCTCTCTCCGGGAGTAGTAGTCCACGTACAGCACGTTTGGATCATTCTGGTCCTCAGTGCAGGCGAAGGACGGCATCACGATCCCGGGGAAGGCGGTAGTCATCAGGTAGCTGCAGGCGGTGATGGAGACAAGTCTTCATATGGAGCTATATTGAACGATGGTAGATTGGGTGAACATGAAGAAAGCAGTCTTGTGCCGACAAAATCGTATAAAGTAAAAAGAAATCGACGTCTGGACACAAATTTGATGGTAAATGAAAGAAATGGTATATGATGACAGGCTGATGATACCATACTTGTGCACGAATCGACGTTGGTTCTTGAGTTCGGCCTGGAGGCTTTATTGGTCATATATCAAAGCTCGATTACAAGCAGTGTTTTGGAGATTATGAGCTCAAGATTCTCACGCAGAGTTTATGACCTTCAATTACCAAAAGGTCCTGCTTAAATGACGTAGCGCTAAACGATTTTTTTGAACACCGCCAGTAAAATCGTCGTTTACCGCTATGCCGTTATTGAACCAGCACCTAGTATGCTGGCGGTGTTCAATGTAATCGATGTTTAACACTTAAACGTCGTTAAACAGCATCCATTGGTATACTGAACGTCGTTACTCAGCATATAAGCTTTGAACTCATATTGCCGAAAGACCAGAGACTGAGGGCGTTCCTTTCTTACATCAGGTGCGTGTTTGTGGACAGTGTCTATATTTTCTTTGGCCATATTGTCTAGGACAAAATAGCATGGGTTAAAGTAGATTTATGCTGGCAAGTTACGCTTCTCTCGCGAGGATAAATGTCGTTACCATGCACGTGGGCTGTCACCAACATCAACGCAAGCTGTTCACTCACCAGTGCAAGTAGTCGAGGTTATCCAAAAATGCGTGGAAGTTTCTGCCGAGTGTATGGAGCATTTCACCATACCCTTTTTCGATGGTAAAGTCGACAAAGTGCACGCCAACGCCCTCCAGGAAGTATTCTAAGCTGATGCCTGCGGAGGAAGCAGCAGTCACCGCACGCTGTAAGGGCACGCGGCGCGCACTGCGTGGTGAGACCCTGAACTTGCGCACGAGTACGCGGTGATACCCGGATCTTGCGGCAGAAGAGATCCGGCCGCGCTTGTGAGACATACACGTCATACATCACGCATACATCAAGATCTTACACAAGACTTACCTAGGTGAGCAACGACGATGACTATGAAGTCGAGCGTGGCTTTGTCTGGGTAGCACTGGAAGTTGAGAAAGGTCTGCTCGTCGTCGGCGCCCGATATTTCTCTGGAAGGAACCTCGTTTAGAGATATATGTTGAGATCGTGACCGACGCTGAGGGCGACCAGCCAGCGTGCGGGTACGAGTCAACATTAACTAAAACCCTACCACACGTGGACGATGACACATAAATCTCAAGAGGATGCAAGGGCAAAAGTTGGCGTACAACATCAAAATTCATATGTTGTGAGAGCCCGTCTACGATACCAAATGACCTTATCATCTACCAACCTTCTGGGGCATAGAACGGGTCCAAACAAGATCGTATGTTGATCTTAAAACATCCCCATATCAAGCCACTCACAGTATTTCCTTCCACTTGTTCTTGCCGTAGTTGTTCAGTACCCACTCCTTGACGCAGCTGTGGATGAGACCGTACTGAAAAGAAGAAGCATCGGTGAGTTTGGAAGTGGGCATGACGCAAGCCAGAACCTCTCGGACTGACAGTGCCCTCAGTCACCTAGAACTACTGATGGGAGCAGGCATGTACAGATGTGCTGGTTCCCTGGTGTCCGGTACATAACAGAGATAAGGAGACAACTGAAACCTTGAAGTTTTAAGATAGTTGTCGTCATTCTACGTTGTGAGTTCAGAGTTAGTACGGTTCATCATTAATTTTCAGCGCATGGCCAAGCGACATGATAGTGGTTATATGTTGGCCGTGCCCGACATGTCGAGCTAAGCTTATGACCACGAATGTGGGAAGGATGCTACATACATATACCCAGCAGGAAACATCCAGTTGTCAATATGCACAATGTGTGCGCTATAAGTCACAACAGTCAGTGTCTTCTCATATAATGAAGGTAGATAAGTTGCAAATGTTGCTGAAGGTGAGTGTAGAATAACTAAGCATAAGAGCCCTGAATTCATAATGCTGGGAAGCCTGGCGCTGAAGCCTTGCCTTCTTTATCTTGTTCCGTTCTTGACAGCTTTTATATAAATCACTTTTTACCTAGTTCATTGCTTAAGCTGAGGCACGGTCAAGGTCACCTAGTGTTCGACTTCCAGATGATTTAAAATCAACCCAAATTGCCTGCCTGTGATATTAGTCAGCAACTGAACGACTTTGTGAACCACAGACAGTGTTAAAACATATTCACGTATTGCTAGTGTTTGACTCAAGTCAACCACGCGCTAAGATGGCTATATCTCGAGGTCATCGTCAGTCGGTGATCTTCGATGATCTATCCTGGCAAAAGTCACAGTCAGATAAGGGTACAATAGTACCAAGCCTCAAGACGAAGGAAAGTATGCAAGTTATGCTGGTAACACGTAGATTATAACGATCATGAGGTGCAGGTCAACACGTGATAGTGACATAAAACAGCTTTTCGGGGTACCTGTCATGTGCAAAAGCTAAAAACCTCGGAAAGTTAGACCATCTTCGATAAGAAAACGCTGACGACACCAGGGTGCAGTCTTAAAATGAGGTTCAAGGTGTCAACGTTCCGTAGAAAGGTTGCCTGAGAATGTCTCAACCACCTTACAACACATTGCTAATAAATGCCCCATTCAACAATGTCTGGCCAGGTACATCCTTGCCACAACCTGTCTAGATCACTGACCCGACATGGACCTGGACCCAAAAATTGTGCATGACATTCGGCATCGATGTGAGATAAGGTTTGGCAAGCACCAGAAGGATAACCCAACCGCTCTGGATCTATCCCAAAAACTTCACGAGGGGAGCGATTCTTCCCTCAGCCAAAGCGATGGCCTGCAGCACGACTGGTTTATTTTCTTGTTGCATACTGCACCAATGCACGGAAAGTCGCATTACTCTCATGAGCAGATGCTACTTGCTTCATTCCGTGGCCAAAAAGTAAACACGCACTGTTATGCACGAGCGTAACAGAGCTTCTCACTGTAATCGCATTTGTGCGCACGCTTTGCTTTGGTGCGTTACCAATGCATCCTTCCTCCCTTCGTGACCCTAAAGAATGTTTAACATACGCTCGGGAGACCGTTTGAATATGACGCAGTCGGATGGGGTGGGTGGGTGCGCCAGTTTTACAGTAATACCTTATTTACGTAACATCTGAAAACTACGGGGGCTAGAGACACAAAACTCGCAGGGAAGACAGGCCTTGTGAAATCACTTGCGTAAATTCAGAAGTCCCTCCGTATTTTTTGTGTCTAATAAGGTAAAATCAGGTAAAACTTCTCATCGCCTGACTTCAGGCCTCCACAAGAAACCGTATTTTGTGACTGGATACCTGTTCTGAGAAAACAAATCACGGGCAGCTATTTCAGGTCGACGGCGTTATTCGACCATAAGGACACAGTGACCAAAAACCTACGAGATTGCTTCGATTTTGGAATCTAAATTGCTGTCGGCGATTACGCTGGGGGGTACGTTTAAAAAAAACACCAAGTTTATCGGGGTAATTTGACGTCAGTGACTCCCACTGACCTTCATGTAATTTAAAGAGGATGTCCGTTAGCGTTCTTGTGACCAAAATTTGCAAATAAACATGAAAACTACCACATTTCTCCATTAAAAAAACCTGTTTCGTGTTGACCTAGTCCCTGATCTTCATAGCTGACCCAAGGTTAATGGAATTAGTTGCAATCCTAGCGTCATTCGTCTAATCGTCGAAGCAACAACCTCAAAGGCGTGATGACCTATGACCTATGTCCTGACGTTGACATATGAAGGGTCAGGGAGATTAAAAAATGCATCTCAGTTATTTATACGCGAGTATCATTATCTAATTTCCTATAACTATGTAACGTTTGGCGACGCCACATCATGACGTTCTGAAGTTCGGAGAAAGTACTTTCAGCTTTACGCCGTTCATAAGCATGATAACTGGTATTCAATCAATCCAAAAGTATGATGATCGCTAGTGATTTCATTTGAGCGATCCACCGAGTTCGCCATAATGGCGGCGGGGTTCTGGGGCTGCTGGCAGCCGGCCGCCGCCCGCCCGAGCTCCGCGCTTCAGAGCTCACGCTGCTGCTACGTGTCGAAGCCTGCGGGGCGGCCCGACATCGAGGCCTCATCTGAAGGAGCCGCAGCTGCAGTGGGCTGCTTTTTATGCCATATCATAGTAAGATACTACAGCCTCGGACACAATATTCAACAACTTACTTTTACCGCGAAATCTGTTGAACAATGCCCTGGACGACTAGTCGGCCAGAGTTGGGTAAAGCCTAACAAAATCCAGTCAAAAACATCGATAATGATGAGTAAGTAGTACGATAAAGATATTCCCCGATTACTAAAACCGAGGCGACCACCACTACTCCTATAATGGAGACGACCACTTGTGCTTTTATATCGACCCGAGGCCGATATCAAGATCCGGTAGCACTGGATATCACGGTGTTCTACCCTGCTCACATTGAACCTGTACTTAGGTCGGAAATTGCTCCGTTATGATAGCTCAGCTGGTTCCTTCTGGTGCTTTCCTGGTTTACTGGTTACTGGTGCTGATGCCTTCATTTTTGTTCATTCACCCGCGGTGAGGCAGGTTCGAGTCGCTTCAGGCTCTCGCTATTTATCACTGACTGGAAAGGCCTGCGGTCGGCGGCAGCGGTCCAGTCCGTCCGCCTTAAGGTTTGGTAACGTCAGAGGGCTAGACAGATCCTGCCCAGTATTGCGGTTTAAGCTTTCACCGCAAAATCTGCCGTTGACCTGACATTTTACGGGCAGATGATGGGGTTACCGTTCCGGCAACACGCAAGTATAGCGTAACCACTGAACCCAAACATCCGCTCAATCAAAATGGGAATCAACCTTTCACGCAAAGGTTGTACAAAGGTATTCAATTGTGAGGTGAAATGTGCCAGCAAAAAGAAAGATAGCAAATGCCCCAGAGGGATATGCGGCCACTTGCTTCAAATCGAGATAAACCATATTGGAGTTAGCCCACGTCCTTAAAACGTGAGGTTTGGGGAATCTAAATCTGTCCCGTGAGAACGAAGACTACTCATCCAACCGCGAATGCACGTGCTATAAGTGCCTGTCCTCCAGACATAAAGAAAACCTCTGAGTGTTGCTGAGCTCTTTTGTTTGAATGCCCAGGCTTTTGAAAGGATTTTGCCATCAAGAGCTCTAGTTCAGTAAAAGCGCTGTTAAAATTTAACGCCATTGCACGAGCATTAGAAGAGGCATTAGTACGCGGGGACAGACACCCATTAAAAGACCGGCCTCGTGGAACGCAAATTGATGAGTTTGCGCCGGCTACCCAACTGTCGTTCGCTAACTTACCCCATTTACAAGGCCGCCCATTTTCCAAGGCAATAGATGGAAGTGGCAGGCAGAGAGCAATCAGTTGAGGCCAAAGTCTTGCTTCTGATTAACTCTTTGATCAGTTCGGCTGGACACGAAGGCTATTATAATTCCACAAACTAGGCCGCAGAACCGCTGACGTACCTTCAACTCTCCCCTGGCGAGCTTTAACACGTGGCTTGGTAGTGGGCTGCATACGATGCGCTAGGGTGGAGGGTGGATCAATTTGACACCCCTGAGATATCAAAAACTAGGAGGGCCAGAGACACTCAACTCACAGGATGGTAGACCCCTATGTAAACTCTTTTGGTATTTAATTTCAAATCTCTAGATTGCGACCTTTAGGCAAGACAAGGTCAAAATGGAGACTGGAGTACGAATTTCCCCAGGCCTTCCAAAGCAGCCAGTTACGTCTTAAATGCTTGTTCTGATCAAAACGTCACTTGGGGTCATATCAGGTTGGTGACCTCGCCAGTAAGAAGGTCAACAACAAGCGATAAAAAGACATTCAGTGACCTTCATAAATTAAAATCACGAAGTCATTTGACGACCATGACACAAAAGAAGTCATAATAGGCGTGAAAAACTACCTCACCGAGTAGCTCCTCCAGTAAAACTGTTTGGTTTGCCCTTGGTCTGACCTCCATGCCTGACCCGAGGTCAACAAGATTCAAAGTAATCCCAATTTCAAGCATCGTAGTCTCTGCGACGTAGTCACCATACCAAATTTTTTTTATGAAATCGTCTGGAACACCTCAAAATATTTACTAAGAAGTGTCTTCAGTGACAACCATGGCTGGAGTTTGGCCGGCGACGGGTTAGCCGCCTGAAATTGTACACCTAATTTTCAGTTAAAAAAACTAGTTTGTAAATTTTCTTTAGCTACACAAAGTGTGCCGTGGTTACGCCGCACAGCTAAAATATATATGCATATATATATTTCATATCCTCACAACTACCCACCCACAGGACCAACGGGACCCAGCCACCTATGAGAGCGTGTAGTATACCGCCCTGATGCATCTGCTCGTGACACGCGAGTAACGGCCGTCGAGGCTGCTGCGATTGCAGCATGTCACAACTGAGTTCGGACGCCGGCTGTGCGTGCTGACGTGCGAACCTGTGCAGTCGGAAACCA